CTCAAACGATGGCGTAATGTTGGTTTTGGAGAGATTGGAGAGAGGGTCAAATTGCAAAACCCATCCCCCTCTGAGGAGCTTCACTCACCCTTATTTGGAGCCATTTTGTTGCACATGTGAGTGTCTACTCCACACTGGTATAATGATAGCTGAAGACAAAGCCCTTCCAGTTGAGCTTGTAATTTGACATGAAAATCCAGAGCAGAGGTCATTATAAGATGTTGCATCAACATCAGACTATTTTCCCCAGATCAGTACTTGGAATGATCTTCAACATGGACAATTTCAAACCATGATCACATTGCTACGTGTAACTGTTTGTCCTATTTATTTGAACTTTGCGATTGAGGGTGACCTCAATGCTTCGTCGAGTTTAAATGAAAGTTGGAAATGAATTGAAGTGTTTGACACAGTGGGACTGTCGAGAACAAAATATGCAAATCAAAAACTGAACATCTGATTAAGAACAAATGAATGCCAAACCTTGACTTCTCCAATTGTGTCACTTTCCGACATTTTAGATGTACTGTTACGCATTGTTTGTCTTTTTAGGTCTTTCCCATGTTTAAAATGTGCAATGATGCCTCCTTTTTTATCACTTTCATGTGAGAGGTATTTGTTTCAGTTCTGTCTGTAGGAGGTACGCTATAATTGCTAAAGGTCTCCTAATTTGCACAGCAATATTCAGCTCACATATTAGTATCTCATTTTTAAAATCTGTACCAAACATTTTTTTCCTTTTGTGGGAAAGAAACAGTTCTACCATAACCCTGTGTAAGACCAAACTGCACATTGGGTTTTTACAAAAATGTCAAGCCGTTGCTTTAATTACAGGTCATGGCCTTTTACCAAGATCGATCAAATTTTGTACAGAGTACTCAAAAACTGAAAATTCAGTGCACAACTCTCTGAAGACAATGCTCCAAAGCCAAGTATGTTGAGTGGTGCAGCAGAAGCTGCAGCTTAACACTGACAAACTAAAGGAGCTAGTGGTGGATCTCAGATGGGGACCGACATAATGGTGGTCAATTTTACGAATGACTGCAAAACCACCATCTTGCCCACAAAACTGGAAGTGGGAGCAGTTGAAGGATTTGCTTAATTTTGTTGTGGAGCCTCTTGGCATGGTAATGAACTATCATCATAAAAAAAGGGAAATGTTGGTGTAGGAGCATAATATAACTGACAGACTAAGTTGGTTTATGATAGTGTATCAGTTCTCAGTTAGCGCTCCCTTCTGTAAACAGGAACCACTCATTGTCTGGTCAGGTGTTTCTGCCCAGAAGGTAAACAGTTTTTGACTTTTTTGTAGAGACCGAGCCTACGCTTCAAGCGACTGAGATGCTGACATCAGGGAGAACTAATTGATGTGCAGAATAAATCAAAGTCTGAAATGTTGGTTAATGATGGATTTACAGACAATGAGATAAGGGGAAAACAAACAAGAAAACCGACACTGAAAAGTAGTTAGGATATTATTTAGCATGAATAGCTCTACTGTTTGCACGTGGCTGCCCAAAGGAAAATGACAAGAAGTGGTGCCAAGATGCTGTCATGTCATATCTGTAATTTCTCCATGTCATGGCTGTCTGCCATCTAAGGCTAGCCAGAGGCTAGCAGAGAATGAGATCAGAGAGGAAAATAAGATGTTTCTCACTTGATGTCATAAAATACATGGCATAAAGAGAGTTCAGTTCATTGAAATTTATGCCAAAAGTTCATGGTGAGAATATGAACTCCAGAGTTGTTGGGATACTTTGATTCTTTCTGTGGTCGTAGGGAATTTCTCACTATGTGGGTAACCTTTCCTTGTCCTACAACTGCATCCCTTGTTTGTAATCCGTTAGTCACATTATGTTTTTGACAACTTATTTAGTACAGTAAGCTTCATGCTGATATTTTGGGAAATGGTCTTGAGAAGATTGATATCACTTTGATGTCTGTATGCTAAATATAAAGCTAAAAGCAGTCGGCTTTAGTTTAGCTTAGCACAAAGACTAGAAACGGGTGCAGGATGTTTTTACACATCAGTTTTAAAAAATAACTTTAGTAGTGATGGTAGGTGGATTTTGTTACCTCAGTCAGAATAGAGGTTTCCCTCTGTTCCCAGTTTCTGTGCTAAGCTAAGCTAATTGTCAACTGGTAGCTTATTAGCATACAGAAACAAGTGTAGTTTCAATCTTCTCATCTAACTCTCTACAATAAAGTGAATGATATATCCCTATAACTATTTCTTTATACTATTAACCTAATTTACAGTATTGATTTTATTAAATTGTATCGTCGTAAAAAGTCAGAATCAGAAAAATTCACTTCAGTGTGGGTCTGCCGTAACCTTATTTCAATGTGGAATTTTACCAAATCACATTAAGCTTTAATATCAGTGAAATGTTTAGTTTTAGTCATGTCTGCAATAGTTAAACTGGAGGCTGACGTTCATATCAGCAGGAATGTTGATGTCTCAGGTCAAAAAGTCCATTAAAGAGCTGCGGAGAGGAGGAACATTCTTCACTCGACTGGCGGACTCTATTCTGGAGCAGTGTTAGGTTTGACATACAAGCTGGGAGGAATGCCTAACCTCTTTGCTAAAGGTCTCAGACTCTGTATGGCATCAGACCTTACTGTGAAAGTTTTCAATCTGTGCCTGAGCTGCAGCGAGGCGTAGGAACATTTGATGAGAGATAGAGAGTGGAACAAGACCAAACAGACTTCAGGGGCTCTCAGGACCTGCCAAGCATGAGACAGATGTGATTTTTCATCCATTTGCATGGCTGTGAGTTTGGCCCTCCTGAGCAAGCGAGAACAGTCCCTGTCAGTCCATTCCCACCACGGACACTGAGTACTGTCCCCTATTTTAATAAGAAAACACGTGGCTCTGACGGGGCAGTGCAGGATGGCTGAAAGTTAGGAGTTTAACAGGTAGAACTGGTTTGAGAAACCACACCCTCACACAGAGTATGAGGACCTACTTGTGCAGGGTATACACTGCTCACAGCAGCTTACTGGCATTCTACAATGTATGTTATCATAGGAGGGAGCTTATACAAAGGATAGGTCTGACCCTGTTGCATTTTTCTGTAGTGACTGTAAAGGTGACCACATTCATTTTTAAAGCTTCCTATGGCCTGTGTGGATGTCTACTGGAGCATGCACTGGGTGTAGAAACCCAAACCTACATATATATATTTATATATATATTTTTATATATATGTAGAATGTTTAAAGAAGTGCATTCTGCTGAAATCCCTGTTAGGGTACACAAAACTCAGAGACTAACTAGTGAAAGAACTACAGATCAAAACAGCTCAGAGGCAGTGACGCACATTTTCCCTACAAAACTGCTACTGACTGTAAACACGTATATGACTCTTATTTTCCAAATTCTGTAAGCTTGAATGTGCCTTAAAGGCTCACAATTAACTTGAACAAAAGAGAATTCATTGCACCAGCCATAAAAAAGGCAGTAGTAATAACAAACTGAGCACTTTGTAACCACGTTAGGAAGGGGGAAAGCTCAGCAACAAGTGAAAGGTATAAGTGAATGTATTAGATCAATATAACAGAAAACGAAAAGACCACAGCATTTTGAGATTTAGGTCATTTTGGGCACAGACTTGACTGGGCAACGCCTCTTTCTTATAAAAGTAAATGCAATACTGCCACCAAGTGCTGGTTATCTGTAGGCATACAAGAATGAGAGTGTCATAGTCGAGAAAAGAGACACAGCCATTTGTTACATCTGAAATCAGCTCATTATATGAGCTTTCCAAAATGAGCGCCATTAATCAGTAGACTTAGTTTCTTAATATATTGGCAATTCAAGTGTCAGTTTGAGAAAAAAATCCAGCAAAGATATTTGTTGACAATTAAACACTGCCACATTTAAAACATGTATTTGGGAATCTTTTGTTCATAGCACAGACGGTCAAATCAACAGTGGCATTTTGTGTTAAAATAAGCACAAACTGAAATCTGAGGTCTTCTTTCCTCAGGTGTTACATGATGTATTTGCTATATGGTGATTATGGTTTTAATTTAACATGCACAAACCAGAACAAATAAGTAACTCAGTTACATCAGTTGACCCAAAGAGTTCTTTTCTATCACTCTATTTCTCATAAGCAGAGTGTGACGCTGCAGAAAAACTCCTCACTGCCCACAGCAACTATTTGGGCTCACTATGTTATGGTGTCAAGTTGCAATCTGGGTCCACTAAATCTTTTAAAGAGGAAGTTCTTCAAATCAATCCTTCATGCTTGAAGCATTTGTCGGATTTCTCTCATATGGCAATACTGCCATCTAGAGGGCAGGAACAGTAATGGACTGTCTGCTACACAAACCAACCTTCACATCATCAAAACACCAAAATGGAAGTTTAGTTGGTTAGTTCTCAGAAATGTATTTGGTTATCTATAGACCTTTATCCATTAACCAATATAATGTATTAATGTATATTCTGCAATTATGAACCAAATTTTTTGTGAGTGAATGTTTTGATCTTTTGAAGAGTTCCCCTCCATTTACCTGTGCTACTTCATTTCAGTGCCTCAGTAAGAACCTGGATCAGATATAAAAGGTAATCATAGTAATTAAAACTCAGTGTGTTCCTGCAAGTATATTCTGCCCCTCCCAGGATTCAAGCTGAATAAAGCCCATTATGCCTGTACAAATAGTTCTTCTTTCCACAATGGTTTCAGCTACATTCTCCTCCAACACAATGGCTGCACCAACAGGCCAATCTAAATTGCAGAATATTTAACATTAAATTATACCTACAATCAAATAAAACATACAATTCACTCTTTCTTCAGTTTGTGATGTTGACACAAACATGCAAATAACTTAAACTTTACATTAGAACATAAAAACGTCTCCAAAGAGGTTTCAGGTAAGGCCCTTTAACAGCTTAAAGCCAAACCTCAACATAACATTTCCCCTACTTTAGGACTGAGCCTTTAAACATTTCTAACACTTGAATCATAGAAGACACATCAAAGAGAGTCATTTATTATCATTTTTATTTTATAGGGGAACCACAAGTACTTTAAAAGGTTATACAGCGCTGTACATCTGGGAGCAGTACCGACAGACTTCTCCCTTTAAATACTATTCATTTAAATGTTCTATAATCTTATAATGATACAGTGATACAATAAAAGCTTGTGTAACTGGTCCTGCAGCTTTTCTGATATGTCGTTATCATTTTTGTTGGGACTGTTATTTCCTTGCAATTTTTTCCAAAAAAGGAAAATAAAAGTTATGATCAAAAACCATACGACAGGCAGAAACTGCCAGGCTGTAATCCTGTATGACTCCCAAATTCACTCACACAATAGAGAGAAGAGAGACAGAGAGAAGGAGAAGGGGAAAAAAAGATATAATTTTCATGTTCTGAAGGCTGGTCCGTGATGGAAATGGGCTTCAGTTCATAGTGAGGTGCAGAGAAGCACTTTCTGCAACCTTGACTCTTACTCTGCCCGACCATCAACCCACTTGAAGGCTCATTTCCATAACTGTGTGCTCAGGGTCTGGCCAGATCCAGCTGCGGCCCACCCACCCATAGCTGTTGGAGGCTGACCAAAGGCCATCTGGCCACCTGCACCATTCAGAGTCATCCCTGACATCTGCTGATTCACCTGAGGAAGTTAGAGAGATCTGTATTAACACTACATTGTTGTGAAACAAGGATCATGCCATTTTGGCTATATGGGGGTGCTCAACGTCTGATTTTACATAGAACTACCAGTTTTCTCCCAATAAGTTAATATACAGCCTATTACAATATGCATTTCAACGTTTAATGCTGTAAATTAAAAAAAATGTAAAAAGATTAAAACTTTCAATACATTTTTTTGAAGTGCGTGAATAAATCCAAAATTGTAACCCTAACCCTGGGTCATCAGTGCACATGTGTCGTCGTATGTGTGCGTCGTAGCGTGTATGTGTGCAGTGGCAATGGAGGAACACTTGCTGAAGAGACCAAGCCCCAGCTTCATGGTGTTGTGCCGAGTTGTCTGCACCTCGCGGGACTTTTGGATAATTTATCACCTTTGATGAACCACATAAAGAATATTTTATCGTTTTTAAATAGCTGCTACTTGAAATAGACCCGCGTGGAACCGCAATGTAACACAAGACCGGTGAATGACAGGCGACAGAGAGAGATAAGGGTCTTCAAAAAGCCTCAGTTTAGCTGGAAATTTACAGTGTAAGTTGAATGGAAAGAGATTGCAGCTCCTCAAGATTAAAGCGAAGCAATCGCTGCGCACAAAAACACACAATTCGCATACAGGCAGGACTTGATGATTCTGATTCGACTATGTAAATCCTTAGTCGTGGACAGCCCTAATAACATCATAGACTGAAATCTGTAATATTACTGTCTGACCCCAGCCCTGTCCTGAAACTAGTCCGTGCTCTCTGTAGTTTGATTGGGACATAATGAGGTAAATGCAAGCTTCTAAAAAATTGCAGTCAAAGTTGAGCTGAAACCAAAGCTCCTCCGGCACCACCTCTTCACTTGACTTCACTTTTCATGGGCTTGTCTCCTTTCTGCCTTCTAGAGGTCAGGAGGTGATTACTGAAGCCCTACAGAGGATCTGTAGCCCTGCTGTGTCCCAACTCCTTACTACATACTAAGTGTATACATAATTCACAATGAAATGACCCATATAGTATACTGTTTTGCAGTCATCATATGTAACTGTTTAATACCAACAGCAAAGATTATTCAATAATTTTGCCATCCGACATCCGTCAAGCTGCTAACTGCTCTTCACAAAGAGACAAAAAAAAAATTCTTATTGTTATTTTTGGTCTCCTATGTTCCTGGTGCTGTTTCATCACAACCCACACTGAACATGGTTTAGTAACAGTACTTTTTTGGTCACATTTCCAGTTTCACACTTCATCAAACCTGCTTAGATATATTTTGGACAATGCATTTGGGACACAGCTTCTGTTTTAAAGTCCAGCGTGTGATGCCATCTGGTGGCTGCTGGATGCACTGCCCACACCCTGTCTAGTAAATCTTCACAATGGACTGTTGCGCAATGAATCATCAGACCTGGGTGTGGTTACATGTAAAACAATTCACACTGTATGTGCTATACCCTTGAACACAAAACAAGATTTAGTGTGCAGTTGCTCTTTAAATAACCTCTTACAATTCTGCAGTAATCAACAAAGCTTAAAGACTGTCCATACCTGACCCATGTTCCACTGAGCCTGCTGCCCAGGCTGGATGGCGTACATGCCCTGAGCAGTCACCATGCCGGCAGGCATCGCACCACCCTGTGGTCCCATCATCCTCGGCGCCATGCCCATCACACCAGTTGCTGGCGCATTCCCCATGAAGCCGTTAGGCATCGTCATCCCAACCATCATGCCCGGACTCGGCCCCATCATGGCCGCCCCACTCTGAGCCATCATGGCACCCATGACAGTTGTAGGTGGCATGGCTGTGCCCATGCCAGGGAAGGCCTGATAACCAGCAGTGGCCTGGACAGGAAACTGCATCTGGGAGGGGCCCATGAACATACCAGCTGAGGGGGGAACAGAGAGCAGAACGTCACACATACAGCTTTCAAGCCAGTATTTTAATGTGAGATGATAACAGTGAGGATTGTGTGTTTAAGGAGCCTGTTTGTCAGGAACGCTATGTGGGACTGTGTTGGGAAATACGAGAAATCTACTTTACTATCTACTTGAATTCAGTTCACCACATCCACAGGGCTCAGCATCACCGTTGCTAAGTGAAGCGTTACTGTAGTCTGACACTGTGTGCCCCCAACATAATTTCTGCATGTTTGGTTCCTCACCAGTGGGGGCCTGTTGGGACATGCTGTTGGTTCCATACAGGGACAGGATGGAGTCCTTGGACAGGGGCTTCTTGGCCATGTCCTCAGTTTTAGTGGTGCTACTGCTGTCACTGAACAAGTCGAGGTCACTCTGCCCAGACCCTGAGCTGGCCCCACCTCCTGCTGCTGGAGCTTGTGTCGGAGTGCTGGCCACGTTACTGGAGCTCACCTGAAGGGGGAAAAAGATATTGATTTTTTAACGAAAGTATGAAATAACAGCGATTCACGATGCATTTGAAACCTCAGCAGATCAAATCTTGGACAGTTTAACTGAAGTTGCTATACACCTGGTGGTCCATGCACATTCAGGTTTAACCAACAAATCATCATCAACACAAGGCTCCATAAATAAATAGCCGAAACAGTGCATACTGGCAACCATCAGCTGTCGTTTGCTAAATTTGAGAATGGCTTTCATATTTTATCAATAAAAGGTGTGTTAGGAGTGTTAATGGCCTGCTCTGCATTGTAAACAACTGTATTTCAGTTCTGCTGGCTGACTGTTAGAAGCAGGCGCAGCCATAAGGCTTGGTGGTAATTAAATCCTGTGGCCTAACAACAAGTTATTTTACCAGTACTACCTGTGCCACGACACAGCAGTAACAAAGTGATATAACACACATTTCTTTAAACGGTTTGCATCTATCTTTTTCTCTCTCTCTCTCTTACTCACACATATTAACTTTTACTTAAGCCAGCCTAATTTACAAAATAAATGCAAATATGAGGATGTGCCACTTTTCTCTGTTGATATCACTGTAAAGTCAATATCTTTGGGTGTACGCTGATCGGACAAACCAAACACTTGGTTTTAACACATGTTCAGTCTAATGGTTTCCTCATTAGTTGCATTAATTTTCTGTCTGGTTCTCTTTCACTGTCTCTCAGTATTGGTGTTACTGTCTTGTGGGCTATTGATGCTGATGGTTATCATTTGACTTTATATTTTTACTGCACACTTAATTTCAGTTTAACAACTAGAGAACTATTACTGCTAAGGACTCCTGAGCAATATTCAGAAATTAGTGCTAAATCTGGACGAGGGAATTCTTGCCCGGTTTTACCTGAGAAAATGGAGCTGTGGATGTGGACGAGGGGAGGGGGTTGGACACCATGGGGCCAAATATATCCAGGTCATTGTTGTTCTGGCCTGTGCTCGTGCTACCATTGTTAGTTGATGCAGCTGTTGGTGCGTCTATGACAGAGAGGTGAAAAAATGGTTTTACATGTAGAATATAAGCTTACAGATAGAAAAAACTGTCACTGAAGATTTCCCAATGATATCCTTTCTGAATTCTCCAAGAACTTCTAAATTATAAATAAAATACCAACAAACACAGCACATGTTTGCTAATGTGAGAATATGTGTTGTCTTTGTATTTATTTAACTGCAATGCCCTCCCATAACTGCTGAATACCCCGCACAGTAAGCAGGACGGTTAGTACAATAAAAAAAATTATCAACTTACCCTTATTATCACAGAAAACACAAATAACAGTAAACCTGCCAAACAAATTACGCAATGCCCCACCAAGCCAGTCAGCAGCATAAATGTGTCATTTTCTTTTAAACTGTAAATGAAATTGCTCTAATGATGTGATAAAACACATTATTCCTAGGTATCAACATTCAATCACTAATGTCAGAGCTATTGCACTGAAAAGATAGATGGTCAAGTACACAAAGTAAAAGACAAATAGTAACCTGTAGTTCTACCCCACCATCTGACTATCTAAACATGAAGATAGAAATATGCACAAAACTGCCACTGATATACTGCAAGAGACCCAGCAACGGATCCATGAGCAAACCTAGTTTTGAAAACCAAAATTACTCGCCACTTTTGCCTTGTCCATTGTAATGTTTAACACTGATCCTAAAAAAGAGAAGGTCCAAATCTAGACCTAAAAAACATGAAGTTACCAGTCAGTCGCTAACCTCTGTGACTGCGTCAGCAGCTTTAGTGCTTCCTCTAAAAACCCCACAAAAAAGCCTTGCAGTGGTGGAAAGAGGAACACAGTGAGCCTTTGAAAGATAGTGCTTTCTCTCAGACCAACTGCTTGATAAATAAACATCAAGCTAACAACTTTACAATGACGACTCAAGCTTAAGAAAGAGAGTCATGGTTTGGCCCTGTGCCTGTACAGGACGACAATATCTCGGTCCAGTGCAGCTGTCCCCTGCTGTGAGGATGCATACAGTCACAGCCATAACATGCCACAGCATCAGCATGCAACACTATGCCAGAGTTACAGCCAGCCTGCACTCATCATATATACACAACAAACAACAAATATACTGTGGCTATTAAATGCCATAGACATACAAAACAATCAGTGGAAATATCAGTAATCAAGAGATACATAACACCACAAGTCCATAAGAACTCCAAACTCCAAGGTCAATCAGTTTATAATCATCCAGTCATTATTAGATCAGCAGAACTGGCAACAATTACAAGCTGAGACCATATGTAGCCAGATTTCATTCTCAGTCAGCACATCTGAGATGATTTTTATTTTCCAGTAGCACAAGAAGCACAACGATACTCACCAAGACCTAGTAGGTTCACAGAAGGTTCTGAAGTCTTAGCAGGGCTGATTTTGGGAACTGGCCTGGACTCTTCAATCTTTAAAAAACGTAAACAAACAAATGTAAAACATCAGCAGGGCAAAGTCCATATGATACAAAAACAATGTGGAAGAGCATGGGTACATAGCTCTACATACCAAGGAGTATGTGTGAGATACTTACCTTGGTGTAGGATGGCACCTTGCTCCCTCTGTCTGGCTCCCTCTCTTTCTTAGCATCTTTTGGCTGAAAACAAACAAACAAAAGACACTCAAAATTAACAACAGAAAAACAGATTTCAGCTTAAACCACATGTCAGTAAAGACAGGTACATAAGAGGTATGTAGTATGAGAAAAATGAACTGATACATACACTGCTCCCATTGGTCACATTCTTGCTGTAGTATTTCTTCTTCTCATATTTATCCCTGATGAAGAATTCCACAGCTCTTATGTCAGTGTTAAGTGAAAAAGAGGCAACAAACAGGCCAAGATGATTAACTTTAGCATATACAGCATGGCAGTTTTTTATTTTCAGTGTCTGCTGACAGTGAAGGATACTGGTCTGTTTGAGGTCTTCTGAAGCTTTCTGGAAGGTTGGCCTCATAAAGCTGCCTGGCCTTGGTGTTACCCATGTCCTGTATACTCTGAAAAAATAAGGGACATATGGGTAATTAGAAGGGTCATCAGTATCTTGGCCTGGGTTTAAGAATTCAAACCTTTAACAGAAAGTGTGGAGGTGGGTGTATACCAGGCAGGATGGGTGGAAGGCTAGGGGGGTACAGATGGGGAAGAGCCTCAAATTTGGGTTTAAATCACACTGGGCGACGGACCTTGGCCGATGTGAGACATCCATATTCAGAATCGTGTTTTCCAGTTGTAATTATAACTTGGATGTTCACGTTGACCGTAATTTACAAGTTAAACACTGGTAATTATAGTAACTCCCAAATTACATGAATGTGACATACTGACGGAGCCTATCAATTTACATTATGGGAAGTGTAGGACCCAGCATGTTTGAAGCTTAACCTACACTAGGGACTAAAAGTTGTTTTACCCTCTGATGCACAGAATTTCACCAATCTGACTCACAAGTCTGCAAAGTTTAATGTGGGACAGTGCTAAATTATTGGGAGAATGCCTTTAAAATGGAAATTTGCAATACTCTCACAGGTGTGAGGCATTGGCTGTCAATAAAGGACAGATATGCACAAGTAAAAGGATGTGAAATCAATCTTATTATGTCCCATACAACACCGTTTTTGCAATAACATCTCACTAAATTTACTGATTTACGGATTTTGTACTCAGGTGATAAAATGCATCATCTTCTGTAACTGAACGAAAACACATAAACAATAAAACGGTACCTGAATTTGATCTGAGGTCCACTGGTCCAGGTTGACTGATTTAACTCTGGATATGTGTACTCCCAGGTTCCTGTGGATGCCAGCACACCGGATGCAGATAAACACTCCCAGATTCCAGGATGCCCATCTTGGACCTGATGAAGTCAGAAAACAGACTTGTGATTTGGAAAAATGGAGCTATGTCTGAAGGAAAACATACAACATGCACGATCTTGCAGTGTCAAAGTGCCAAAAGGAGGCTCTGCATTCTTTACCAATGATCTAACAGGAACATCAGAGTCAGGTTCCTCTGGAGGACCTGCCACAGTTTGTTAAAAGCCTGAAACACCCGGCAGCTGGGCTGAAGGCTGCGGTAAGGGAGAGGCACTGCGGGGAGCTTATGTACATGTAGAGAAGTTAGCTTGCCAGTTAGCCTAATTAGTTAGCCCAGTTTAGCTTAAGGGGACTAGATATCATCTGACTAGCCTGAGCCAGCTACACACTAGCGAGTTAGCTTAGCTGAGCTAACCAACGCAGATGTTGCATTTGTAGTTAGCGTTAGCGGCGGATTATCGGTGAAAATGTTAACTTTGTGAAGTAAAAATTAAAAAAAATGTTCGATAGTGTGAATGTCGCACCTTTCGCCTCGCAGTCGGCGCAGTACTTGTTGTCTTCCTCCCTCAGCATTTTGGACAGGATGGCCTGGTGCTGCTCGTTGAGTTTCTGGGCCTTCTCCCTCTCCGAGCGCGTCGTCATGTTCGCGGCTTTAGTTGGACTTTCTTTAAAAAAAAGGAAGTGTACTTGAATCTGTCTAGGTAAGTTTCTGATAAAAGACCATAATCAGAGGGATGAAAGCCTCCGAGTTGGATATGAAAACACCCGGAACCGGAATCTTCACTCCGCCCACAGGAATCCTAGCGCTGACGAGGCGGCCGCACCTGATTGGACAGCAGCTCTGACGTCATCTGACGCACGACGTTTCTTAAGAATTGACATTTTCATAAAAAAATGATTATCTGCACTAAAAGTTTATGCACCATCTCCCGTCAGTCAGTTAGACTGGAAAGAGCCCTACTTGGATAACCAATGAGCACTCATAATATGCAGCTTCCGAGTTTATTGAACATGGACAAGAAAATATATACAAACAAATGAAGGAAATCTACATATTTACAGTCCACAGCTGGGATATCAGAAGGTCAACTTTTAAGAAATTTGAAGAACTTTAAATTAAACTGAGGTAAAGACCAATTAAAGAACACAGATAAATGCTAACATACATCGCTCATGGCTGATCAGACCTTGCCACTGACATTTGTAAAAAGGGGAAGACCTTCAACCTTACTGAGTATTAACAAGAGTTTAGATGAAAAAAAGTCAAACTTTGATTTCAACTTTCAACTTAAATTTAGGCGTTCTCAGACTCTTAAAGGACCCGTGGTTAATCTGTACATACAAAACAGTTCTTAATCTAAAAAATACTTATTTAAAACATAAATGGGCAAGTTATAAAATACTCACTTTAGACAGATACACACTGTTAATCACTAGCCTCTTTCCCAGCAGTTACTCTTCATATCAGCTTACATAAATAGACATAATGATAGCACTACATAAGCAGACTTGAATTAGAAACACTAGCTGATAAGTGGTGCTTGAGATGCCTAATGCACCACTGCCTTAACAAAAGGTTTCCAGGCGGATCTTGAAGTTGTTCTCGTGGTGCCTTACTGCAATACCATAGCGGAGCAGCATTTCTATGTACGGTGGCCAGAATGTGTTGTCTATGGTCACGTAAGGGTCGTGCGGTGTGCTCAGGACCTTGTTCATGAGCAGCTGTGGGGGGTAGAGAAGATGGAGTGTTAAGTAATGGTGCAAGATAATACAACTTATAAAGTACTCAGGCAGGCGTTTACACAGAGACAGTTCAATAGAATCTGGTTTGTATTTCTGACTATTTGACAATACATACTGGAAAAAGATGCTAGCAGAGAGATGGTGTGACAAAAGTGCTACGCCACACTTAAATACTGGACATATTTGTGAACACTAAAACAAAGTATGTTCAAAAAGATTTGAGTTTGGGAATAAAACAATGTCAGTGATGCATATAACCTGACTAAAAACGCATGTGTAGCAGTATGGCTGAACAATATTATCAAAATCACAATATGGCCTGCTGCAATTTTCAAAAAGCAGGAGGTGCAATATTTCTTAAAGGCAAAATGTGTTTAAAAATACGGATTTTCAATTAAATATTGTCACGCTGCAGAGATTTCCTGGCCTACGCATTATATTCTACAGACTTAGGAAAACACATTTGTTTGGTACAGATCCTTGCAAAAAAAAAAAAGCACACCATAATCATTTAAGTATGTTTTTCAATGAAAATAAAAATAGTTATGTAAGAATGATCATTCCCTCCAATATCACAAATCATATCGCAATTGCAATATCAGTCCATCCATCCATCGTCAACCGCTTATCCTGCTTACAGGGTCGTGGGGGGATGGAGCCAATCCCAGCTGACATCGGGCGAAAGGCGCGGTACACCCTGGACAGGTCGCCAATCCATCGCAAGCAATATCAGTCCAAATAATCGCATTTAGATATCAGCCCTGTGCAGCACTGAAAATCAATAACCATCAAGAAACACATGTAGGAGCTCCTCTCTCTCACTCTGCACATCACTGGAGCTGCTGGTGCTCTGTCTCTAGTACCCCACACACGTGCACTGACGCCCCCTACCTTAAGGGTTAGGGTTACAATTTTGGATTTATTCACGCACTAATTCATCCTAATTGACAATAAACCTGCTTCTGATTTCTGATAATGACTGCTTTCACTTAAAGGTACCATTAGAATGAGGAGCAATTTACATATATCAATCGCTTTTCCAATCGCATTTCCAATGTGTGAACAGACTGTTGAGAAAATGAGACCTTCTCTGACTTTCTTGGGTGCCTGTAACAGTCTGAGGACTGATTTCTATTAAAAGAACTACCCGCGTTTTTTCCGGGAAAATCCCAAAGGATGTGACATTTACAAATGCTCCCTTAGTGCCTTCTCTTTTGCTCCCCTATTGCCAACAGTGTGCAAAACTAGTCAATTCAACTTTATTGGCATGAATGTAAAACAACAATATTGCCAAAGCTACAAATAAACTACAAAAGCACAATTCATGTCATATGTTTGTGTGCAACATAAGCTAGGCGTTAGCTTAGAAACGGAGTCTGCTAACGTCAACAAATAACCGGCATCCAACACATAGTACGAAGTCAAAGCCAACATTATTGCAAAGCATGTGAAATATTTTGTGACATTGTGGTTTTATCTGGCTAATTTAGCTAATGTTAGCTTGCTAACACGGCCGGCACCAGATCTATGCAGTGTCCATGCAGCGGGCCAACTAGCTAACTGTAACCTAAGCTAAGGTTGGGCAGCAGGCTGTGGCTGCGTTGCGTGGGTCTGGCACTGGTTGCTTTGTGGCATTGGCTGATGGGATGATTTGTAAACGGTAAGGTAGTCAGTATCACATAACCAATGGTCCAAATAAAATATGAGAACATTACAAGTGAGGTTATTCCAAATGTGACTGTAATTTATTTTCCAGCTTTCAGTGTTCATTTCAGCCCAGGATGATGCTCACTCACACAGAGTGCGAGGATGCTGAGGAACAGGACGCTGACTGCACTTTACTTAACAGCCACGGATGTCATTAATAACAAGGGTTTTCTGAAAGTTCAATTCCATTCAATTTTATTTATATAGCGCCAAATCACAACAACAGTTATCTCACAGCGCTTTTCATAAAAGAGCAGGTCTAGACCGTACTCTGTGGTGATATTTACAAAAGCCCAACAGTTCCACATAGAACCTTTGAAGACAGGATAATTAATTGGACATCAGAGCGGATTATGTAGTAAATCGAAACCCACCTCAAGAATTTCATTAAGTGAAATCAAGTCTTCGTTTAACTCCTGGGAAATGTTCTGAAAAAAACAAACCGAAAAACAAAACAAAGCATATGGTAAGTTGCACTGGAGTAGTAACAACATAGGCTCTGCATGTAAACAGGCTGCAAAAAGACAAAAAACAGGTCACTGCACCTTCTTCTTCTTGTTTGTACTGGATTCATTCTGAGGCAGAGGGACATGCTTCTCCAGTATGTCCCCCAGAGACTCCATCAACCTTTCCTCATAGGCCTTCATTTTCTGAATTTTCATCTTGGTGTCCAGCAATACACTTTGGAATGCGCATCAACACATGCATACACGTAAAATGTTAGTTCATACATAGATTTTGCCATTGTTTTTTTTTTTAGAAGTTTTAAAAGTTTAATTTGAGTATATTCACACTCATTCACTACTTTATTTCCCCTCTTCCCACATTTCTGTTGCTCTTCACGTGATTTGCAGCTCTCCAGTGCAGATGCACCTCAGAACCTGAACTCTGGTTTAGGGTGACTTCACACTCACCTGTGCTCTGATAATTTCTTCTTTTCCATGTGAAGTCGATCAACATGATCTTTGGCAGCTATCAGCGCCTGTTTCTTCTCCTCCAGCCACTTCTGTTCACTAAAAAACACAAACTTTCAGAACAATGCACAGGGTAAAACCAATGAAAAGTCTCTTGCCCCCCGAGGAAGGACAGTCAGTTATAGACAGACTACACAACACTACTAAAAGGTTACGTACAGCTCTTTAGTTTCTCTCAGTTTGTCTCTCTTTGCTTCGTAGCAAGAAACAACCATCTCAAGTTCAGAACACATCTTGAGCATCTGTGGAAAACAAAGTGGGAGAATGGATTTCATAACTGGAGCAATGCATTTAAATATTTCAATGAGCCACATTCTTCTTCAATTCTGCGTTTTACACAGACATACCTCCTCTTTTCCAGCTTGAAGTAAAAGTTCTGAATTTTCTGCCAGCACTGGATGTAGCAAAATAAATAAACAAGTGCATTTTAAAAATAATAATTTTATAATATCAAACATTAGAAAGATACAGCAGATGCAACTATTTCAATTAGATTTTATAGCCTGGAATCACAATCTCATATAGTCACAAGATCTGAAATTAAATCCTGATTAAAACAGTAATGTTTGTCGTACCATTTTCTCACCAGGCTAAACTGTTTCTTTTGATATGTAGAATGACATTAAATTTTAAATGTGGCATAAAACAGTGGTACTGATTTGTGATATTCATAAGTCAGTTGTAAATGCTTGCATTACATTACAGTTACAGCTTCTATCACAGCAGGAATGGAGGACTTACATTTCGGCTCCACTGTCAGCCATTGCTTCAATTCAGCTTCTGTCGCCATCAGTCGATTTACTGACTATTGGAGATGAATATTCACAATGCACAGAAAATTCAGTTATTGAATTAAGTTATTTACATAGAAAAATGTCACATTTTATAAATGAAAAACAAATTCCCTGCCAACATTGTCTAAAGTGTGACCTGGAAAATTCATTTTCATACTAAAAAAATAACTTTTTTTGTAAAAACCTAAATGTTTTTGTTTTGAATAAATTAATCTATCATTTTCTGTAATTAATTTGTAACACTTAATCCTAAATGTACAACAGAAAAGTGCTGTAACAGAAAAGAAAATGTTTCCTCTCTCTGTTTGGTAAAATACTTTACTTTTAAAAACATTCACTAAACGGCACAAAAAGGTTTAATGATATCTTAACTGTAATTTAAGGCATGTATTCCAACAGGTGAGGATGAAGGGATTCTGGTTTGAGGACAGGTTTGGCTAAATTCTGGCCATTGGAGATGACATTGTGGTTAAGGATTAGCATTTGTTCTTTGTGATGTCAAACCCACCGGGCTACATTTCAGTGGCGAGCAGTGTGTAATGCAAAAAAACCTGCATGAACCAACATTAAAAATGTTGTTAACATTTTTAAAAGCATTTGGGTGCCATCTGCAGCGTCACTGAGGGATGCCGCTTTGACAGCTCGCTTAAAGTTAAAGGAGCTAGAATAACTAGGGTGGATGAGCTTTTTATGGCTGTCCACTAGGGCTGGTTATAAAATGATTGCGATATAATTTTCCTTGATATAAATATAACAAATGCTCAAAAAATATTCCATTTAATTCATCTGAACTTTGGACAAATCAAAGATATTTATTTTGTTGAAGACTGAAAAACGATTTTACTTTTACTCAAGAAACAGTACTTTTACTCGTGCATGTTTTAATGTTGAAAATAGATTTTTATCTATCATTATAATTGTTTTGAATGTTTTTTGAAAAAATCCACTGTTCACGTTCTGACTACTGAAGAATACTTTAAAACCACAATTAACCGTCTGGCAAAAAACAGCCTTTAAACTTGAAAGAAATAATGATTTGACATTTATCGTGGTAATTATTAATATATGATTTTTTTTACATTTTTGACCATATTGCCCATCCCTAATGTCCACACTGTTCTCCTGTATTCTGTTCTTCACTGTAGTAAATCATTTCTATGTGTAATTGACTGTTAATTAGTCACATAAATAGGTCCTGTAAATACCTTTGATATTACGCTTATCATAAAAGACTATTTAAATAGAATAACTTATAGTTTTATAGACAATGTTAGTGATTTACATCTTTGGAACCAAAAAATGTTGTCTCCGATTTATTCACATAATTTTTGTTCAAATGTAATTGTGTTTAAATTGCGTCAGCCATGATACCTTAAAAGGTGTAAACATAAGAATTTTAACTTTTTTGAGACATTCCACTTGAAGGTTTTCCATGTTGGTATCAGGAACACTGGAAACTAGAAAGCACAGGAATGAACAACCATCTCACCTGCTCTTGTGGATTATCGCAGAAATCTGGTTCACACAGAATAATCTCATTCTGAAGCTGCAAAACAGAGACACAGTTTGGACCTTCTTGTGCATACCCAACGACTGTTTAAACAGGACAGCCCGGCTCGTCGGGTTAAAACCATAGACCAGGGCTTTTCAAAGTCTGAGACTGCGGGCCTACCCTCAGACAAAGCGTGGGATGACGATCTCATTTTGATAAATAATGCAATAGTTCATGTAATGTTTCACTTCCATTTTCTGAGCCTCCCCTGAAACTGTCTGGAGCCCCCCCCTAGGGAGGCCCGCCTCGCACTTTGAAAACCCCTGCAATAGACAACAATAAACAACACGAGTTTACTTTTTCCAGCTTGGCAAACTGATCCTCACACAGGTCCATCAGCTCACTCTGAGCGGCCTCTGACAGCTCTGCTGCTGCCTGGCCGCCTGGCTTCACCTCGGCCTGAACACGGGAACATAAAGGGTCAAAGGGTGGGTAAATGTTTGAATACAGTACAGGCAAAGCTGGCACAGTGCACGGGTTAACGTTAGGTCTTATGAGCTGTCGGCTAGTTTTGGCTCGTGTTGGACAAATGAAAAGTTGCCATTTTGCTGAAAAGGTCAGCATTTTCTCTGTTATTAACATGAAAACGTCGCACTCTACATTGTTATGTACATATATCCACTACAAAGATGACCTAAAAGACGTGTGGTCTTACCATAATTAGTGAAAGTCACGGTTTATTGCTCCACGACGCGGACCACAACAGACGCCTCTTTTTTTCAAAATGCCGCCAACATTGATGACGTAACGTCTGCGACAGAGGGTAGTGCTGAGGAGCGCTGATGCTGCGCAGGACTGCGCAACTACAGTGAATGGTGTAATAATGTAATGAGCTCTGCGCGCTTTAGTCTTTAAAACTGTGACCCGCAGTCACGTAAATGAAGTTCCCAACGAATTGCTTTAGTTTTTCAGAGGAAACAGAGAAAACTGTGGGTCCCCTCTGTGGTTTGTGGTGATCAATCTAAAAATGCATCTTTAAAGAGATGCAGAAACCCTGCAGCAATTCAGACACAACTCTTCAGCACTGAGTGCTTATTGTTTTCTCCCGTAAATAGACAAAAGTATTTTCAACAAAGCCAAAGCGAAGCAGAAATTGTAGGTGGATTAACTACATTTTGGTGATAATTTCTAGACTTTCACTTAAGTAATATTTAAATGCGGGACTTTTGGCTGAGTAAAAGATCAACACTCCCTCATCCATGCCACCCGGGGTGTGTTCAGTGGACGGGAGCTTATGAATGTGCAGAAGGTGTCATCATGTGTCCAATTGTGTTGGCCAGTAATGCAAAATTGTACGGTAGGGTGGAAATTGACGCTAGAGAACTGTTATTATCTCAGAGACAGTATTGTTGCTTCCCAGTAAGTCTAGAAATTTTACTGATAGGCAGATAGAGAAAACCCATATTTACTACGCTGTAGCATTATGAAAACCGAGTTCTTATCCAAGTCAGTAAGCAGTAAAATCAGTCAGAGCATGTCAAAGGTTGAAGGAAGACCAGTGAACAGCACAATGAACTGTACAGGGCTCCCTCAAAGTTTGTCTCCTTTTTAAAAGATGTATTCTGTCTGTTTTATGTGCCCACCATTCAATTTCTAATTCAATTGCTGTGATTTGTTTTTCTTTCATTAGTGTGCTTACATGGTCTTACATTACAGTGTCTTACATTGCAGTCCCTTACACTATTACATTGTAAATATTGCACAACCTGCTTAATCAGCCTATTTATGATCATGCAAATAAAGCAAATTTGCAGTTTTATGTGAGAGATAGAGTGTGAAGGTGTAAGACAGGGAGTTGAGAAAACCAAAATGTGTAGAGAATATTTTTATTTATCACAATTTATTTTATTGGAATTTATGATTTAAAAATCTTTAATTTGTCAGAATACACACACACACACACACACACACACACACACACACACACACACACACCATGGCTGGTTAACTGCTCACTGTAGTGGAGTACACTGTCCTGTGAACACCAGCAGGTGTCTCTGCTTATCTCTCTCCTCTGTGGCCAAGCAGCAGACTGGAGTTTGAAGCTTGTCAACATCTGCACCTACTTTTTTCTTTATCGGCTTCCTTCCTTTTTTAAAATATAGTTCAGAATTTAATGTCACTTTCTGAACATTAACAGGTTTTCATAACCAGTTAGGTCTGATTTAAACGACGACTCCAACAGATCAGGACGTGCTTGCTGAGGATTATCAGGACCATCTTCAGTTAGTTTCACTTTATTTATGTTTATTTAATGGTTGTTGTTCTGTGCCGCTAAAAGATGAAGATTTCCAGTCACTCCACACCCATATGTAGTATTTTCCATTTGAAATGATTATTTATGTTATATATGTGCTGCTTATGACTTGTAGGAATATTTGGGAATTTTCTTTACATCAATGCTGATGCAGTTTTACCCATAATCATTTCAGACCTAAACATCATCGGACCAGTGTTGGAAGACCTGCTTATCATTAACTAGCCATTTATATATAACATTGTGACCATTTAATAACTCTTAAATAATATATTTTTCAACACAGTGGTCCACACAGGTCATGTACTGTTCCCTGGTTATAGGTGGCAGTGGGTGAAATGGTTTTATTTGTTTTTTAACCTAATTAAGGGCACAAAAATGTTCAAAATACAATGGCCAACCTGTATCTCTTTCTCTCTTCTCTCTCTATCACCCTCACTGGTTCACTTATAAGACAAACAAGCACATAGGTTTGCTGTTGTTTGGTTGTAATGAAGTTAATCGATCAGAGCACTGGTTGCAATATGGGACTGGATGAACAATTTAGTCCAAATGAGTCTCTCTGAGTGTTTAATTTTAATACAGTACACATTCAGCAGCAGCATCAGTGAATATACGTGTGTATATTTATTGATTTATATGTTTTCAAGCTACATCCCCAAAAAGCACATAGCCTGGATTATTTGAATGATCAACTAGAATTTGATTAATATGCAAATTTCTGAACAAACTGTTCCATTTGAGCCTTCAGCGCAGCCTAATTAATCAACAGTTAAAGGAAATTAATACATACATCAATTCTGTCAGGAACATGCTTAGTTCAATCGCCCGTAAAATTGAAGTTTGAAGTATTAACTGGCTCCACAGGAAGGCTATGATTAAAACTCTACAATTCAGGCAACCCAGGCAAATATAAAGTAATTTACTGATCTCCTTTTTATACTTATTCAATGATAATAATAATAATAATAATAATAATAATAATACGATGATCGATGATACTTGTTATTTTTTCTGCCATTTTTGAGAAGACAAACTGGAAACATTAAACAAATTCATTCATTTTAAAGTGTGTCTTAACTGCTGTCATTCTCAAATATTAGTTTACACTTTTCACCTGAGACTGTTTTCCACAAGGTGCAAATAATAAGAGAGAGAGAGAGAGAGAGAGAGAGAGAGAGAGTATAAAAAGGGGAGGGGAGAGATGGAAAGAAAGAGGGCTGTACTATTGTTTCAGTAGGGACTCATGCATCAAACTTCAATTTTCCGGACGATTGAAGTAGTGATTTTTTCCATCTTGAAGTGAAATACTGAAATACACTTAAGACCTCCAGATTAATTACCACGAAGTGGTCCCACAGACTGTAGTATTACTTATCACCGAGCCTGCCTGACAAGCCCTCATAAAATAAGCAAGTGAAATCCATAAACTTAGCCTGCCTTCACACTCTCTCCCTTCATAAATATGCTTGATTCAGAAGAGGCTGCAGAAGACACACACACACACACACACACACAAACAAACAATACAAAGGACTTTTTTTTGCAATTTGCAAGACAATTTACAAAATATTTCTTTGGAGGTATAGCCTACCTTTAAAATCAAAGGGAAAGCATAGCATTTAGAAGCAGTATATAAATATTTAATAAATAGTTTGTAACACACTATAATGTAAGCAGATAAAGCAGATATAAGGACATTTAAGTGTTTATGAATGTACAGTGTTTGCCAACAATTATCACTTCTCCCATGAAAACACATTTTACCTTTTACAGCTGTGTTTTACTATTTTGTCATTCATCATCTGTTTATACAGCAACTTATGGGTGCCACAGGAGCAGTTATAGTTGTTGACAAATACATTAAGAAACACATGTCTACTTTCAACTGTGTTATAGACCATTTATTAAAACACTGTGTACTGCTTATTAATGCTAGGGGGTAAAAGCAAAGTGTTTCTGAATTATACATTTTACTAGGACTAATTTGCCTACAGAGCATTTACAATAGCTTCAGCTATATTAAGTGCTACAGGCCTATAAACTTATTCAGGTTGTCCTGAATTAAAAAAGTCCAAAATGGCAAAAAAGGCAAACACTATAAAACACCTCACAAGAAGACAGCCCTACTTAACATTTCTTTTAACAAAGAGAGTTAAAGGGGAGGTAGCCTTTTGAGATCCTTTTCTGGACACTCTCTTTCTCACATCACCATGTTTTCAGCTTCATTAAACTCCTTAAAGACAAAAGAAATAAAGGAGGCAGAAGAAGAAAAAAGGAGTTGAGAAGAAAACAAACAAAAGACTCCCTAACCAGACTTTGGCATAAATGTCACAGTCTAAACTCTTTATGGCTCCCTACTTAACATTAAAAACACTTTCAACAAAATCCATTTCTTGTTTAGAAAACGTTCTTGGACAGAAGTCAAACATATTATTCCACAGCTAAAAAGCAGAGAAAGACAAGCGTCTCACAAAAAAAGGGGCAGTTTCATTGTAATTCATTGACTTGTTCAAAACGCCAGGCAAAGAAAAGGGCTAGACATTAATAGCCGCAGATGCCCTCATGAAGGGAGAGTCTATGTAGGCATTATGGCCTTTGTTCGCGCCCAGTTAAACTGTTTAAAAGGAGGGTTAACTCAATCCATCAAATTGTCTGAAATTGTGAGGAAATTTCAAAAACCATATGGCCTCCAAACGTTTGCGTCCTTTTTGTGCGGTGGGACACACTTGTCTCAGTATTGCTGCCGGCGGGGGACCGGCCCTGCTCCTTTGTGGCTCGTCCCATCAGGGAACGCTGCTCATTTGTCCCCACTTTTCATGCTTTACGCTCAAAATTACGGCCCAGTCCCGCAGAACAAAAAAAGGTCTATAAAGGCCTGGAGAAACTGGCCCAAAACTTTGTGTTTTTGTGGCATCCTCGCCTTTTTTCCACGGCACCAGATTTGTGTTTCTCACATAAATTTTTGCCACGAATGGAGAAACACGTCTAAGGGTCAAGAAGCCACGATACGCTTTTAGGGTGTGAAAGGAGATGTGAGATTCCGGGCCACAAAATGTTTAGAGCATCCTAGTAGAAAAGGACACAAAGGGACAAAATAGTTCAGAATAATAAGTCTAAATAGGCCGCTTTTGATAGGCTCACACGCCCAGATTTGGCAACGGGAGCGTGTTTCCAAAATGAAATGTTTTGTCTTCACCCAAAAAAAAAAGCAGGCTATTATATCCATAATAAAACAGCAACAGAATTATTATATTATTATATTATTCAGGAATTACAACATAAAAGATATATTCAGAAAAGCCATTTTATTCCCATAGTAGCCTATATACATTACAGTCTGTGCATTGGTTTTCAAATAATGTCCTGATTTTAGAAAGGCACTTACAGGTGTAAAAAACATAACAAAGTTAACTGTAAATCTATTGTATCCAAACAATAAATCTAAAAAGTAGCATATAGCCCGTCAAAATCACCGCAATGTTCATTTTTGTTTCTCGCCATCGCTGGAGCATTTCCATAAAACGTGGATGTCCGAGTTTGCCTTTCCGATCATCATCATCATCATCATCATGCACTGCAGCATCGGGACGCCGAAAATGAACCGAAGTCAAGGATCAGATGAGGAGGAGGGGGAGAAGAAGAAGAGCCGGCAGTGACAAAGTGACTCAAAGGCGATTTGGCTCACAGAAAACACAAAAACGATTAAATAAAAAAATAATAATAAAGTAAAAATAAATAGATAATGATCAAAAATCAAATCATGCATTTACATGCAAAGAATATGAGAAACTGGAGCACTTTCATTGTGGTTTGTGAGGGTAGGCCTTGTAGGAAAAGCGATGGAACAGGTGTGTGTGTGTATGTGTGTGTGTATGTGTGTGTGTCTGTCTCTGTGTGTGTGTGTGTGTTGGCCTATAGTGTAAAAAAAATAATAAGTTACTCATGTAATTTAGACCATATTGCTTTGATTGCAAGAAGTAACCGTTTGCTAATGAATACATTGTAAAATACCACTGCATATTTCTTGTTCTGTGTTCATGCTTCACTATGAATAGGTCTATCTGTGCCGATATAAAAGTCATACATTTTGGTACATGTTCTGAGATATGGTATACAATATAAGCAGTAAGATACAAGTCCTCGGTAGGATGTTTTATCGTCTTTTTATGTTTTTTGACCTTCAGCACCACGCTGCATCAGTCATCCACATCAATCTCCACGTCCTCGTCCTCCGAGCACTCTTTACTAGTTGTGTGGTCTGAGAACGGAGACAGCGGCGATGACCGCAGTTTCTGAGCGAGCTCGTGCTCCTGCAGGCCGCCCCGCGTGGGGGACTCGCCTCGCGGGTGGCCTAGCGTGCCGTTGGCGCATTTCTCCAGGTCCGCCAGCTTGGCGAGCTTGTCCAAGGGGACCTGGCCGACGGCCTTGGCCGATTCTACGTCGGCCTTCATCTCCTCCAGGTCCCGTTTTAGCTTGGCCCTCCGGTTCTGAAACCACGTGATGACCTGCGCGTTCGTCAGGCCCAGCTGCTGCGCGATCTGGTCCCGGTCGGCCGGGGACAGGTACTTCTGGTACAGGAAGCGCTTTTCCAGCTCGTAGATTTGATGATTGGTGAACGCCGTCCGAGACTTCCGGCGCTTCTTCGGGGTGCTTCTCTGGCCGAACAGAGTCATCCCGTCCCGGCCTGTGAGGAAGAGACAGAGGAAGAATGAAAATTATTGAATCGTGCATGTGCAGGGCTTCCTCTGCACCGCTGCAGTGTGTGCGTAAAAGTGTTTCTTATGCAAAAATAACAATGGAAGTGATACTAAAGCCTCCAGCTCTTGTGGGAACAGGTAATTACAAGAATATTACGCAGACACCACTGGGAAATATTGAGCACCAGACACACGAGACCTTAATATTAAAGAAAAGCGTTGGCGATTTATTTTGTTGAAGCCCATAAAATGAACACCGCTTTGTTCGATAAAATAGGCCTATTTTTAGAGAAAATTCGCTATGCATTGGTGAACAGAAATGATTTTCTTTAGTTCTGGCCATTAAACAAGCGCATTTAATGAATGCATTGCTTGGCATGTTGATAATAAAATTAAAGGTGTAACCGAATAGTATTTTGGTGCAGGCCACTGAATTAGAGAACAAAATCAAGAGAAAACGCCTAATATTAAATTGTAAAAAGAACGAGTTTTGGGGATGGAGATGTACCTTCTGCAGCCTGTAAAACGCTGACTTCCAGCCCCTTGAAAGTCTTGCTGGCCAGCTCCTCTAGCGCGCAGAGCGGGGAGGTTTGGGTGAGGAGTGCCCGGCTGGACAGAGGGATGCTGGACGGGCGGTGCTTCTCAGAGGACGAAATTAGATGAGCTGTGCCGCAAATTGTGTAACTTCGTTTCACAGACGGTTTGTTCAGGATGTCCTCGATGCTGAAGGGGGTCAATGGCTTGTTGGAGTTGGCAGGAGGCGGCAAATGGTCCAGCGGACTTCGCCTCCTGTTTTCCACTGCATCACATTTAGCCACTTCTTTGGATGTCATCATTGGTTGTGTGCAGAGTTTATACAGGACTTCGTTGAAATATTCAGCGGTCAAATACGAGCGAAGCTTTCGAGGAAAAAAGTCACATAACAGTTAGGAGGTAAAAAAACAACCAACAAAGACACGGAGGAGAGAATAAAGAAAAGAAAATCTTATTCCAAAATGGGATGCCTTCAAAGTGTCGATCCTCGGGAGCAGCAAGTCCGCAGGAGTGAGATGCCTGCCTGAAAATGGCGTGGTCCAGAGTTGACGATTACTAACAAGTTATCATTGATTGGTAGGTAATCAATTATCTCCAGTGGCACTTTCGCCCTCTTCCCTTTCACTCTTTGACTATGTTGCAGTCCAGTGCGGGGCTTTTTGCGACTGGGGGTGTCCCATTAATTAGGACGCATGGCTGGAAGGAGGAGGAGCCCGGCGGAATTATAATGCTTTGTGCTCTTATCATCTTTGGTCTAATTTAGTCGTGTGGTGAGATACCAGAATAGGTATATGGGGTAAATGAGGGGAAGCAGAGAGAGAGAGAGAGAGAGAGAGAGAGAGAAAGAGCGAAATGGGGGAGAGAGATCACAACCCGCAGCCTATTTAAGCGACTTTATGCGTAAAATCTTAGTTTTAGGCTACTTCAGCAGGAGTTTCTAGTCTTTTATTTAAAAGTATTTGGATTATCCGGATGTTGCCAAAAAGAGAAGTCTACTCAGGTTTTATCTTAGGCGTCGCAAGATAGTCAGAAGGATATTTTCCTCTACCCAAAGCGCGGATGATCCTTTGTTTTGTAAAGGTAACGTAGAGCTGGGCCATATATCAGCTCTGATGATACCTCCTCTGGGGCTGGAGAGAAGGAGCAGCATGCATCCCTCTCAGCAACGCCAAATCTGGGCCATAACTCAGGCGAAAGGGCTCCTTTTATATCATCCGAGAAATATTTCATCTCCTCTCAAATTTCCCCGCGTCCTCCAGGTTTGACATGATGAGTTTATTTTGGTGCTGGTATGGAAAAATTGGCGACAGACTATTTGCATAGGAAAACGAGCTTACGCAGCAGGACAAAATACATGATTTTTCCTCCCGGAAAATAATGTGATTTTTTTTTTAAATGTCGAATGAAAATAGTAGTTTTTAATTTCTGTTTTAATTTCATATCTATATTAAGAAAGTTGCAGATAATTTTACTGCGGAAAAGGGGAATTTAAAGTCTATGGGCATACTATTACTATTATTATTATTATTATCATTATTATTATTATTATTATTATTATTATTATTATTATTATTTGTCCATTAGCCTACTGTCGTTGGTTGTCGTTGATGCTGATATATTAATTCTGTTATTTTAGGATATTATATTTCCTTACCTTAATGATGAATGCTTAAAGTCAACATTGCATTAATTAGAATCACGTCACTAATGGACACGCCAGTGAAAACAAAACATCAACAAAGTGATGGTGATGATCATGGTAATTAGAGAGAGAGAGAAAGAGAGAGAAAGAGAGTATAGGACAAATTTATTGTCGAATTTTAATACATATATTTATCCTAGTTATTTCCCATATTCTATTGTATTATTTTATTAAAACTATATTTAGCTTAATCCAAGTCCTGTCCATAAGTGTCACATAGCTACACTGGCTATTTACCCGTAACATTAAATTGGATTCAGTTTCTTATACACAGGACTGAAAACAACAGAAAAGAAACTAACGAAAAAGGAGATGTAGAGAGATTTTAGGTTGCTTTTATACAACACCCTACAATCATCATCCCCACAGTCACATTTCTATTAAAACCGTAGGTAGAACGACATTTTTTCTAAAACCAGGCTTTCATTTATTTATTGTTTTTCTAATTTAAAGAAAGAGATTTTTGGCTGTCAGTTTGCAAAGGGCTTCTGAGGTTGTGTGTCCACTTTAACTTCATCACGAAGTCCAGAAAAGCAGCCAGGCAGTTTCTGTTTGCTGCCGGTGGAGGTTCAAATCTGATTTCAACTGTTCTTTGGGTGTTGAAATATAACCAACGTTTGAACACCATTCTCTCACATTTACCAGGAGGTTCTTTTAGCTTCTCAGTTATTTTCACAAAACAACTTTCAAAAAAAAAAAAAAAGAACACAGTGTTTCTACATAAAAGGCTGATAAATAACCACATTGCAACAAAATAATAATATATGGCATGCCAATTTGACAAGCCAGACTAAAACGTATGTAGATACTTTTTAAAACAGAGTTTCCTTAATGCATTTATGAGGGCAAATTAAATTTAGCTGTATGGAAAAAAACTGTGGAATTATTCATTTATTAATTATTATTAACACCCAGTGTAGTATTAAAACACTAATATAAATGAGTACTCACACATGATAACATAACAACAATGTTTAATCACTTACAACACTATTGCATTTTTAAAAGACAACAGAACAGCGAAAGAGCAATAACTTATTTCTCTAAATAACCACATAAAATGCATTAAATGGCACACAGGTTGATCCATTGTGGGAGCACACATTCTAAAATTTAAAGCAACATTTTTTCACTTTACATCCAATGTGTCTGTTTCATGGTGTTCAGTGTTGCACTGCTGCCTGTTTATTAAAGATAGATATTTGTAGTGGTGTGTCATCATCTCTGCATCCCTCTTGCCAAGGTCAACGACACGGCCTACCTCTCAGCTCTCGTTTAGCCACAGAACTTAATCTCTTAAGCTACTAGACTGTGCAGGGGACGTTCCCTGGCAGGGGACAGTACAACCCCATCCCTGACTGTCTGGAAAATGACTGACTGACTGACTATTCACTCATAATAACTACATGGAGTCTAGTTAGTTTTTTTGGTTTGCTTTAGAAGGTGTGATGGACGTTGATGGTCTCTGTTATTTTGATTTATTGTAATAAATGCCAAAAAGCCCAGGTTAATCATAATCCAGTTGTGTTAGCTGACAATACTTTTGCAACACATCTGCAATCTTCCCCCTCTTAAATGGATTTACAGAACACAAGAACTTTTTCTTCCCAACCAGGTGTTGATTTAGGCCTTCCACACTGCGGTCTGTTGGCTTAAAGTGCCATCCTGCAATATGTGTTAGTGACCTCGTGCAGGAGGAGACACAGCACTCACTGCAGGCTAGACCACGATTAGACAGCTGCAGGGGAAACTATCCACATTGTAGCCAGATTGTGAGACCCCAAAGATGGGTGTCATGTCTCCCCTCTCCCAAAGGCCTGCCTGGTATCTCACATGACAACAGATACAGATACAGAGAGAGGGAAAGATGAGTCTCAGATGTGACTCTCAGTTTAAAACATGTACTGTATAAATCACACGTCATTACCAGAGGTCACCGGCTGAGGCACATCATTGGATGGTTTCATCACGGGGGCCAGTCTGGTTGAAGGAGAGTGGATTTATCTAGCAGTTGGATCTCTGGAGAGGCAGCCATATTTTATGTGACTAGAGATGTAATAACAGGCCTCTGACAAATCCGTGACGGTCCGGCTTTGCCTGCCTGCCTCCCAGTGCAGTGCCAGTGCTGCACGAACAGTGGATCATAAGCAGCACCATTATCACTGTGACACACTGGGAGATCTTTGCTGTGACTTTCACAAGAGTCTTGTTAAAGGGTTAGTTCAACCACATCACAAAAAAAATTCTCTCATTTATCTCTAGCGGTATCTAGCCATACAATCATGGTTTTATGTGCCAAACTATTCACCTCTGAGGCTTCTGAGAGTCAGATCCAGAATTGTGTTGGCTCAAGCTCCTAAGTACCTGGTTTGTTTGACAACATATACAGTAACATGATGACAAAATGATATACCCAGCAGGAATTAAGCGCAACAAAAAATATTTTAAAGTGATACTATGTCACTTTTGACTATGTAATACACTCAGCTGCTACCGCCTCAGTTGGTCGGGACCATTAGCTTATGGTGGCTGATGTTAGCAAACTTTAGATTTTAGTGATATCACTGAGTCAGTTCGCTAACGATTCTCCCCTTCTTTACTATTAGGCAACAATTTTGCATTCATCATTGTCTCATTATTATTACTTGTGGCCAGAATAGTCACTGTTTATCTAAAGTTATACAAGCTTGTTTTAACGCAGGCAAAAACATAGCTTTTGGCTTAAATTAGCTTAAACATAGTTGAACAGTTTAAACAATGCTTTGGCATATAAATCTCCCTGTTATTCTGGAACAAGTATTTGTGACAGTAAAAACTGTTCAAAGTGTAATCAGAGTCTGGACTATGTTTTTGGACTGACATATTGCTGTTGAAATTTTTAAAATCCAGTTATTTTGAGCTCCACAAACAAAATTTCATTCACCTCCAGTGTAGCGAGTAATAGCGGTAATCTCTGAGACAATCACAAAAAAAGGATAAACCCAAAATGATGCATGACTACAATAAAAACCTCTATGAAAATATGAGGGGTGAACAAAGTATTCAGATCCTTTACTTCCAAAAAAGTACCATAATGCAAAAATTCTACATTACAAATAAAATATTTTATTACCTGAAAGAATGTAAGTGTTATCAGCAAATTGTACTTTTAGGTATTAATGTACTGCATTTAAATGGAAGCAGCGTATTAATGTTGTAGCCAGTCGAGGTGGAGCTAACTTAAAAACAGATTTGTTGGGTCGATCTTCTGTTAAAATTCTATTCATATGTTTGATTTGTAAAATCCTAATCTCTGGAGTAATCAAGCAAATACCTCAAAATTATACTTAAACATAATACTTGAGTAAATTCTACATTTGGGTTACTTTACAAATAAAGGATCATCTCCACTCTGCTTCTCACCAAACTGAAAACAAATTGTTGTCTTTCATAAAGTTAAAATAATGCTTCCAACAAGCTACAAAAATAAATAAAAAAGGAACATAAAAATGGACTCGAACACTACAGCCCATAAATTAACAAGTCATGACATTTTTTCCTGTGCTAGGAAAAGCCAAAACAGGTGCACAGTCTCCCAAGAAACACAAGAAGTGCTGAAGT